AAAAAACAAAAAAACACAAAAAATAAAATGTGAATTACTTTCTACTTCATGAAGCTTCTAGGCTAACATTATTGAATCCAAATATCAATCACATTCACAAACAGTAGTTTACGTTAATTAAGCAATTTGTATATTACGCCATTCTAACACATCTGCCTTGATCAATTTATTTAAAACTTTTATAAAAGATTATTATAAATGTTTTGATTAAGTACAAATCTTCTTGGACAATGTAGCTAGAAATTTATTGAGTTATAAGAAAGAGGAGGTGGGCAGAACTGGTGATGGAGCTAGCTCAGCTAGCTAACTAGAAATATACAAATGGAGAGACTTAGTTGGATGATGTAGAATAATACTAATAATTGTGTTTGTTTTATTATTTTGGATAAGATTTTTTTAAAAACAAGAGTTGAGTGGTTATTAGAAGTAGGATTTAAAAATTAACAAAACAATCATCTAGATTTGTTAATTTACTAAACATCCCTGTAATAAATTAAACATTAAAAATTAACAAAAACACTCTTACTCACCCATTAAATACCGACAGTTAGCCACCACCGTCAGAGGGTGGTTGGAGCCGCCGTATCGACGCAATCGGTATGGCATTTTTCGATCAGATCCACTATGGATCTGGTCGCATTTGGTCATCAATAACGGCCAAAGATCCAGATCTGGCCGTGTTTGATTGTCAACGATGGTTAAAGATATGATCGTCGTTGATGGTCAATGATGGCCATATCTTGGCCATCGTTGATGACTAGCTACGACCGTAGATCTGGCTGTCAACAACCATAGATTTGATCGTCAACGGCTAGATATTTGGTTGTAGATCTGGACTTTTCCGACCAAATCCACAATGGATCTAGTTAAAAAATGCTATATCGACGCACTATCAACCAGATCCAGTCAGTAGTGCGCCATTATACCAGATTCCGGCTACCTTCTAACTGTGGTGGTCGAAATCTGGTAAATGTGGGTGGGTGGGGGTGATTTTGTCAAATTTTAAATTTTTTTTTTGGGCGGGGGGGTTTAGTTTAATTAACTAACTTAGGGGGTTTAGAAACTAATAGAATAGAGAAACAAATGTGTATTTTGGATAGAATAGAGATAGGATAATGCAAAAATAATGAAATAAACGCACCCAATTATATCTCCATCAAACAGCAGTTAAATTAATTAGGACTAAATTCAAAAGTCAACACTACTTAACCTAATGGTTAACCTCATCATCAAGCCGAAATTATTAATTGTTCAATCACATTCATATTACACTGATTCTAGTATCAACTTTTACATTTTCATTAATTTAGAAACGGTCTTACTACACGTACGTACGTGAACATGCATGTTACTGATAAACCATTTAACAAATTAATGTAAAGACTAAAGAGTACCCTATGATCAGATTCACAAGTTCATCAACAATATACTTTCCTAGCAGAAGACTTCCCTCACCAAACATAACTTAGTGTGTGAATTAGTTGGCTATAGATTCACCAAACCACCAAGTTCTTGTGTAAATCCGTCAAAACAGGAGAGAAGTATCGGGTTTGTTTAATTACCATAGAAACATCAAGAATGGATGAGTTAGCATATAGAAGTATAGCAGTAAGGTTAATATAATCTGGTTTTATGTAGTTGAGCTACGAGCTAACCACTCTATTACAACTGCATGATGACAGTTCTTATTGGAAGATGGATTGGAAATCAGAATTAAAACAAAATTAAAAAATATATATGGGTTTGTGTACCGAACCCAATGAGTTGTATTAGCTTTGGAAAGAAGAGCTGTTAGCATAAGTTTGTTTGAAGGGTACGTGTGAGGTTTCAATTCATGGGGTCTGGTTTTCTGATGATGTGGTTGAGAAGAAGACTGGAGTCTAGACGTTTAATTTTACAAGTCAGTCAATGTGATTGAATCACCCCCAGAAATGTCGCTAACAACTACTTTGTACTAATATAATTAAGACACCTGGTGGAGTGGTGAAGCCTTTAATAAGTTAGAAAATGACTTGTAACTTTGTTTATAATGTTGGAATTTACTAATTTTGCAAACTGACAATTACAGATAATCATAATTAATTAATATTAGGTTAGATGTCCCCACAGGGTTGCCCATCCAACATTAGACCATTAACTTAGACATGGAGCAGTAGGAGTACGTAGAAAGTAGAACCAACGCCCCACGTCTTAATTAATTACCATGCCACTCCAATTAATTTTGATTATTTAATTAACAAATCGGATAACTACACTTCGTATGACTCATGGTCGTATTACTTAAAAGATTCTGAGTTCAAGTCTCTTCTCGGTTGCTAATAAAAGTAACCACTAGAACTCTTACCTGACCAATAATTCTAAGGTTATGGGGCATCAGTTGACTCTTGGTCGTATTACTTAAAAGATCTTGAGTTCAAGTCTTTTCTTGATTGCTAATAAAAGTATCCATTGAAACTCTTATCCGACTGATAGTTTCAAGATCTAGAGGATTAGTTGAGGTCTGCGTAAACGTAAACTGATTTAAACTGTAGATACTCTAATAATTAAAAAAAAAAAAAAAATAGTCAAGGTAGGTCTCATCATTTTGATTTAATGAATATAGTAGGCCACCCTCGCTAATCCAATTATTGAGATATTAGGTATTGCTTACTTTTAGTGGTCCATATTTGTTATGTATGCACAATGTCAATGTTGTCTTAATCAAGATTTCTAGCAAGTGGGGCTATAATAAAATATATATTAAAGTAATAAGTATAAAAAAAAAAATATAATCTAAAATTTTAATTTTAAATGTTATGCATACCAAATTATCAATTCTATAATTATGTTTGATTATTTTACATATTCTAAAAACATTATAGTTTTATTTTATTGATAATGTCATTAAATATCTCTTTCGATATATGTAATTATCCAATAAAAAAGTATGAGAGAAAATGAAAGGAAATAAGAAAGAGAGAAAAACATGAAAAAAATAGGGGTATTTTCAAATTCTAAGATCAATAAATATAAAAATATCTTAGTGGGTTCAATCAATATAGATAATTTGAGTGGAGTCATAAAAATTTTAGTGGGTCAATATTGTTAATTATTATAAAATATACACCTATTTTTAATAAATTCATAATTTAAGTAAGATTAAGTGATCCACTGAGTATATTTTAATTACGCTCTTGAGCGTCGTGTAAGTGGCCCTAGGGAGAATCAGAATACTTGAGTTATGCTCTTGAGGGTCGTGCATGTAGGAGGCACGCTTTTTAGGCTAATCACAATATAAGCCCTCATTTACATCAACTTTCTCGCCACAAACAACTCCTTCATTTCATGGAAGAGATGATCATTATGTATGTTGTTTTAAATAATTAATTCCTTCGCTTGTTTATGTAATATTTACATTTTTACTTATATATCATAAAATAAATCAACTCATGAGTACTATTACTATTATATATATAGTTATATCATGCTCATAAAACAACGTAATACTAGTGAGGATCCAAAACTTTTGAATTTGGAAACAAATATTATATATTTGGTTTATACATGTTTTTCGATTCTTTAATTTAATTATGTATATGCAGAAGACGTCAAATATATAAGGCAGGGCTTATCATGAACGTTTAATAGATACAGTACTTAGGGTAGGCTATACAGATCCAATAATTGAAATCTGAGTATTGCTTGTGGTTCATATATATATTTTTATATTTATACTTTCAAGAAGAAAGAAGTGCTGGTGTCGCCTACCGATCCATTATTGGAAAAATGTGAGTCAACATAAATTAATTAAAGTCTTCCACAGCTTCATCTTTAAGCTTTCAATCAAGAAGCCCACAGCTTTCCACCTAACAAATATGAAAATCTTGCTTACAGTTACAGAGAAGGTCATTTGTCAAGCCAAATTCTAAATTAAACCCTGGTTTTACTTGGTAGCTACGTGGAAAAGATGAAGAGTAAGCCAAAGGGGTTGGTGGTCATGGTGGTTTGTTCTTTCTTTGAGTTATTGGGTTCAAATTTTGGGACACTTTCTACAATAACATTGTGATTTACCTGGTCTTTTGGATTTGTAGCTTGTAGAGTGTTCAATGGACCCTGAAGATTAATTGAGGTGTATGCAAACTGACCCAAACACTTCGGTTATCAGAAAAAACAAATAAGAAAGATGATGAGTGAATGATGAAATTGTTTTAATTGATTAATTCTCAACCAACATGTACCTAGCTCAATCAAACATAAACTATTGCGGATAGCTTTATTATATCTTGTTAATTTAATTTACATTTTGGTGATATGTCTCTATCTGTTCTTCAAGATTCAGCAACTGTTGATAATTGGTTCATGAATACTTCTTAAAAAAAGCTGGATTATGTTAGTGTTACATAAGATTATGATCGATTACTGGTGTGATTGTGATGTGATAAAAATATTATTGTTATCACTTTCAACAGCTATCAACCTTAGGTCAAGATTAGTTAATTTCCTTTCAATTCTTCGCAGTTTGAACGAGACTGCTTGCAAACTGATTGGATTATCTGTTACTATACATTGACCCCTCAAGGAAAAAGCACCAAACAAATACAATTGCGTATCCACGTCTAGGAATTTTTATACACTCTATGTAATTGGTGTTTCAAAGTTAGTTTTATAACAAGTTTGACGTTAAATATTACAATTATATATAGAACATAACATGACAAACGTATGCTTTTATCGTGTAAATATTTTGAAAAAATGAAGAACATGAGAGCGGTAATGATAGCTACAATACAATACAACTTCCGGCTCTGAAGCTTTTCTGGGTTAGATAAGCAATCCTTGTTACTTTGGGGTTTTTACTATAATACCAGTTATGCAGCTTATGACTTTATTGCCATTCTGCAGATTTAAGGAAGCAAAATCGTGAGCTGAACAGCTACTTCTTGTCAGTGTAGTCAATTTTCTTTTCCATTCCAAACTTGAAGGGTTAAGTAAACGCAGTTTTCAAGATGAAGTGATGAACATTCCATCAAAAGTAAAACAATAACTTTATTCAACATTATTTGCTGAAAAATGCAAATACACAATAGTTTGCACAAAGGTGTTATTTACTTCTGCTAGCTACCAATAAACAAAATGTACAACATCCAACAAGGATGCAATGCAACCAGTTTGAGTCTGTAAGGGAAAAGAACAAAACTGCCACCACCTTTGTCATTTTCAAGGTGGCCAAGTTTCACATTGGAGTCAATAACAACCTAATTCTGAAGCATCTTGCAGGGCCAGCAAGGTGATTTAAGGATGTTAAGTTAGTATGAAGAAGCATCATCAAAGTTAAATTCTTCGCGGAAGAAATAAGTAACGGAAGCGTGAATCAAAGGGAAGAATGCCACAATTGCGAGACCCTAGAAGGCTTTGCCGCCTCTGTGATATGCATTGCTCAACAAAGGCAGCCTGATTTGGTGGAAGGTAATGAGATATCCATACAGCCAAATTCGCATCATCCACCAAACCTTTGGCAAAACAGTGCAGCATTTTTGGAACCAACAACTTCCCTTTGCTGCTAACCCCAACCGAAGCACGAATGAAATCATGCTGAGCCTCTTGAAGCTCCTCCGTTACATTCTTCGCAGTGTAGATCCTCACCTACATTTTCCATTAATTGTCATGTTAAATTATGACTTTCACATACACAATATAGGGATTTAGAAAACCAAGCAATAGCAGCATTAAAATGACTGAAAATACCGCAGGTGATGAGTACATTCCGCAGCTTAGAGCAAAAGCTACAAGTGGTTCATACACATCCATTGCACACTTCTTTTGCTCGTCTGATACCTTCAACTTGTGAATGGCAAGGAGCAAAGCCTAATAGTAATTTCCATAAAAAATGTCAATTAGGAAACAAGATATAACTAGAGAATTGAATTGACCAAAATATATACAGTTTTAAGCAGGTACGTACAATTTGAGGCCTATGTAGGGGTGGTTTCATCTTCAGAATTACATATTCAATAGCTGCTGCACTATAAGAATGTCCACCAACAGTGTATGCTGCCTAGAAATTATTTTAAAAAAAAATCATCATATGCATAAAACTGGTCTCTAAAAGAGTCCCAAAAGCTAAGTATTAAAATATATTAGACTAAGACCATTATGATCAACAAACAAACCTTTTGCATCAAAGAGAAGAGCTTCAAGTCACTTCTAGGGACTCCATACGCCAAGTAAGCCTGCCAAGAGTATACAAAAACAGAATTATAATGCAAGTTTAGCCTGTGATTTCCATAAAATTCCACATCCTTGATAATAAGCATAAAATTTGCTTCACAGTATGAGCATAAACTTCAAATTTAAAAGAAGAAAGAACCCTACATGCATGATCAATGCATTATATAGATTGATCCAGAATGCAAGCTTCTCATTGGAATTTAAGTGGATAGGGTTCACTTTGGCCAATTGCTCAACAAGTGTTCTGCACTCCAAACAACAATAACAACAGATTTGATCAGCTCTAGTATCAAATAAAAATTTCAACCATACAAAAAATCACAAAGTTTAATAGGCATTGCACAACTATTCCATTTCCCTGAAATGGAACAATAAATGAGTTAAAACCAAATTGTCTGAGCCAAACGTTAGGAATTACCCCCAAATAGTCATTTGGTTAGCATATATAAAAACTTAAGATACATACAATGTAGAACTAAAGAAAAAAGAAAGATTATCAAGGGTTGCTCTGTAACCAAAATCATAGAACAAATAGTCAAAAGTAGATTTCCAACAGAAAGAACACAAATAACTTGCAATTCAGTTATTAAAACCTATGCAACTGTAAACCTCTTCCAAAGTTTATGGTTTTGTAGTAACTTGCTAATATTTCTGACTCTTTTATCCATCACTTACCAATCAACAAATAAGGAAAAAATATAACCGAAAGCTAAATGGCATCCTACCTGAACCTCTTTAGAGCCCCTGAAGCATATTCTAATTGCTTCTTACCAACTGACATCCATGATACTTCAGTTGCTAATCCATAGTTTCCAATGTCTACCCAGCTTAACTTGCCACGCACTTTGTAGGGATCAAAAGTACTCTCTGAGGTCAAAATTCCAGCATTACTCTGTATATCAATTTGTGGACTCTGCACCCATGATGAAATCATTGAGCGTTCAGACGATGACCACCATGATGAACTGGAAAGATGTCCACGTGGTGACACAGGGGAGCAGTGGCTCTCTGATGCAGAAGATTTGGATGGTATGGCTGAATCAGCCAGAGACATAAATACATTTTTCATACATCGCACCATTTCTTCTGATAGTTTATTAGGGTTATCCCACAGGCCTTTAGGAGGTATTCCAGTAGGAAGCCTCCTGAACTCCACAAACTGACTTGGTTTGGAATCTGTCTTTGTAGATGTTTTCTTCTCATGGAAATGCACATCTGAATCATCTGCATCCTGAAGAACAATATAATAAACTAAATGCTCACCAACAGAAGATAGGAAACCTTCTTATCACAACTTAGTTTGTGAACAAGCATAGTCTTTCATATCGAATTAATTAGTGTGTCGTTCAATTTCAAATTTGTAACCTTAACAATTAGGTCATTCAATAAAGAGACAGTAAGTAATTAGATACTCCCTATATTCACAAAATATATTATATTTGATAGTGTCCTAAACTTAAGCAAGAAAATATTAGCACCACCAATTCTCATGAGCAATAGATGTTGGGAGAGAATTGAGACATCAAGAAATCTAAATAAAGGAGGCACTAAACATAAGCTTTAAGATGGATTATGCCTCTTATATAACTAGAAAGCATTATAGCCCCTAATACAATCATAAAGTTAAAGATTTCTATGGGAATGACAAAATATAGAGTGATACCTCCATTATCGACTCTGTACAACGCAATTCACAATTAGGTTCTGATGGTTGGTCTCCCTGCTCTCGGTATGAGTTACCTTCTAGGCGATGATTCAGTTCAGGGTTTAAATGCTTCAAACACGATGAAGATGACGATGTAAGAATAAGTAACAGGTACTCGTCACACATACTATAAAGTATATTCAGCTAAGATATGGGATAGTTGCTATTGTGTACACCTCTCAAGTTTCAGTATTACAAATACAAAGATTGTTTACATCTTTAATAAACAACACTCTATCCATATGTGTGTAGTTTTCCTTCATGATAATGAGAAATTGGGATATGGTTCTAACTTAAAACAGGACTGGTGAATATTTAGACACCAAGATTAATAACCTAGATAGCAGTGCAATGATTATTCATGAATAATGAGTAGATCCAACAAGTACATGTCATATTATACCCGGCCATTGAAGGGAGAAAAATAAACATTAATTTAATGTCTAGTGTTCATAATATTAACATGTAGCAAACGAGCACAATCAACATAAACAAAAAAGTTAGAATAATAACAAGAGCAGCACCTAACTTCTGTGCTATGTCTTTAATTTAATAAGGAGATTTTTGCACAGTTTTCAAAAAATTGAGTTGCTTCTTAAGATTTTTAATATCTAAAATGTGTTTGATATAACACTCGAAAATTGTTTCAATTTATAAACCATGTAAAACTGAAAAAACAGTTTTTTCTTTTAAGCTTTTAAACTAATTTTTAGAACTGTACTGGAATTTTAAATTAAATAGACCCTTCATTTTTACTCATTTGTTTGAAGGCGCTCAACCAAATAAAAAGTTTCAACAAAATTAATCACAATAGTACGCAAAAATTATTATAGTTGTCAGGAAGAATTTATGCATGAACAGAAATAGATTAATTACCAGTGATTCTGTACTGTCAGGGGAGCAGTTAGTCAATGCTAAAGCAGATGAATGCCTTAAACGGTATTCAGAAAGCCTTCGTTCATTTCTTTCTTGACTAAGCTGGAAATGTAAAGAGACCATCTCTTGTTCAAGTTTTGAAACTGAAATCTCCAGCACTGCGATATTAGACAGAAGCTCCCGAGCCTGTGCAAATATGAGAAAAGAAAGATTTTACAACAATATTAAAACACCTAATAGAAACCTTGTGCATGATTGAATACAGAATTTACAAAGCCACAAATCAGATCATGGAAATTACTAAACCCTTGATGTCATCTCATCAGTCATCAATGATCTAATGTTTGGGCACAGAAGGTTTGGTTAAGCATTTAAAAACTAGACAGAATGATTTAGATAATAAATAAACTATCAAAATAGAGTTTATGGACTAAGCTCTCATCAAGTCCATAAGCTCTACTTTAATAGTGTTTTAACATCTTGAAATTTTACACCGTCCTGTTATTGTGCCTACATGGATTTGAAACATTGGAAATTTAACTAATACAATATTGAATTTATGAGTTACTGCACGGACAATTAGTTAATATAACAATATTACCAGTTCTGTGAAATATATTACACAAAAACACCCTCTTCAATTTGCAGTGGAAAAAAAAGCAAAAGTTAACAATGATAAGATTATAGAGCTGGAGCAATCTGTATCTTCATTATGAAAGTCTGAGTCCAAGAACTCAAATCAGGATAATGCTGAACAGAATGCATGCAACCTGCATAAGTACAATTTACCTGTTGCATGATGAAATGCCACTAATTCCCCAAATTAACTCGAAGAATATAACAGAGATGTCCATAAAGGTAAAGGTAAATTGTTGTACACATCTTTAGGTAGTTTGAACACAAAAATCTCAAAGACAAGGTGGTTAGGTCTAATACACAGATAAGGTTAATTGTTAGGAGCACAGCATGAAAAGGCTCGTCTAATTACTTCAAAATATTGAAATTGGTAGTGGCCATAGAAGATAGTAAAAGAATAAATAAATGGCCTACATGGTGTGGGAGGCATGATGAACTGGATAGCTTCACAGCATTTTTCTTAATAGCATTATCCAGAAAAATATGGAGTTCCATCTCTTCATGCAGCTTCTGTTGTAACCTTTGTACCTGTTATATTGATATTCCCGTGAGGCTACAGCAAGTTACAATGTACCTTGTTAACTAAGCCTGTAAATTTACTTTTATGGAACCATGTAAGAGATTAAGTTAAACAGGTAAAATACTTCCTAACAGCAAGGTTAATAAGCATATGACAGAATGAAACTAAAAGCTAAATCAAGAAGACAGAGTCTCTTCTATGAAGAAAATAAACAAACACAACATTGCAATTGTGAGGAAGTGAAAAAGGTTGTTAATGAATTTACCAAATTAGCCATGACATAATACCCTGCTCAAGCTTGATAAGACACATACCAATTACCACATAAGCACTACCTAGTACACTAATGTATCAGAAACCCCTGGAAAGAAACAAGCACTGAGAGGATGAAAGTAGTGAATAAGATTCTCTTGATAATTTAGTTTTTTACGATCCATTAACATACTGAAGTACTGAACCATAGTCTCTATAGCATTCTCCATCTAAAAACTTATTGAGGTTACATGTTTCTAAAGTTTTGACTAAAAAATAAAATAAATAAATAAAGCAAACTAATCAGTAAAACACAACAAAGACAACAGTGTTTCAAAGGTTCAAGCTTACATCCTTCTCAAGCTGAAGTCTGTATGGGTAAGAATCTCTGTTTTTAGCACATGATCCAAGACTTTGAGCATCTTCAATACAGTCCCACACCTAAATCAATCACCAATTTTTTCTGTCAACACAAGATCTTTTGAAGACAAGAAAAAGAAAAGGAAGAGGATAATAATAATAACTAATAAGATGTTATGCAAGTGTTTCAAACCAGATACAAGAAAACTCAACAGAAAGCTAACAAATTCTACAAGTCTATTTCAAGCATTTGTACTAGGGAGAATGAAACTTTAAAAAGACTTCCAACTGAAGTCAACAAAGAAATGAAGGTTTAATATGAAGCCATTTCCATCCAAATCGGCATAGCAACTCAAAATCATGTTATTGGCCGTAATTAAGTACTCCCATTAACAAGTACCGTTGCAACATTGAATTATTCAAAATCAAGAAAAACCTTGAAAATGGAAACCCAAATGGAAACATCCGAACAAACCACTTGACCAAAATAATGCAGTACATATCCAAAAGGAAATAAGAGAAACAACAAAGCACCCAATAGCTTGGTCCTTTATGTTTTTTCACAACCTTTTCCACACTGATCTCAACCCCACTTTATAACCCACTAAAAAGAAATGCCTACCCCAGAACTAACCTCTAAGGATGAATTATCTGCGAGATTCATCAACGACATCTAATTGAGAGTCTGACTTGTAGTAACTCGCTTCAGAACCGGAAAATTGGAGATTGAACTATTTCTGTATGAAAATGTCAGCAATAACAGGAAAAAAAAAGGCGCATAAGAAAAAATAGAACTGAAAGCTCCACCATAACCAGAAAACAAAAAAAAAAAAAAAAAAAAAAAAAAAAAAAAAAAAAAAAAAACGCTTACAAGCTAAAGGCAGATCGCATAACTGGTGAGTCACACATCTTGTGATCATGAGATTTGGCATTTATCACTTAAAATATAGCCTGGAAATCCCCAAAAGCTTGACTTCTTTGTCGTATAAAAAGAAGCATCAAATACCGCAGATCACAGCAAACATCAACTGTGTGTTTGTAAAGCATATCAAACTGTGAAATTGGCAAAGTTTTATCCCCAGTATCATAGGATAATTATAAATTAAATTCAAAAATTAGAAAAGAAAGCACTGTCCAACCTGTGAGGATGTAATAATGACAAATTTATTGATGAATGCACAGTTACCAGTCACTTTCAACACAACCATACAAATACGACATAAGTGGAGCGCTTAAATCCCATGCGGCCATGCCTGTTTCAAGACAACCACCAACCAACACAACTTAGAAAGGAAGGTCAAAACAATATAAAAGCAAAACTAAAAATAATAATAATTACATTTTTAACCATCGGAATAATAAATATGTTGCAATAAATCAATTACAATTCAACTTTCATGAAAGTTAGAGCTGAGTAAAGAAAGCAGTAAAAATTTGTCATTAAGAGGATATGATTATCTCCAAAAAGGAAATGGAAAAATGACCAAATTAGAACTTAGAAAGATGGGATTATGGCAGAGAATCAAAATAAGTGGGGTTCTTCATGGGATTGAAGATAAAAGAAACGACTTTTTCCATTGTGTGTAAAAAAGACAGCATTTTACTAACATACTCACAAAAAGTTTTCAAATTTTAGCCACAGAAAAGAGGAATTGGTTACTTTTGGTCCATTCAAAATGATAAATATAATAAAAGTATCTCAGTGATAGACCAAGTGAGCTTTCAGTTTCACACACACCTCCTCACAATCTGAGAAAAAAGGCTTCGATGTGAGAAAACAGTAAGTCAAAAGGAGGAGTTGGTGGGTATATACTTTGAAAAAAACGCTTCCAATATATGAGACAATGATGAAATGAATAACTCAAAAAGAAATAACCAGTAAAAGAACAATCCAAATGAGATATCTCAGTGACTCAGTGGTCCTTTTTTTCCTATAAAAAAAATAAAAAAAACACTGATCAGAATCTGACCCATCATCCATCCATCAACAAACAATAATGGAGCCTTCTTTATGCATTCTTGCCTCTCTATTTACTATTTAGCCCCAGAAACAAATGAAAACAAACCCAGAACTTAAAATTTCAAAATGCAGAGGAAAACTTCAAAGTTGAAAAAATGCTTGATCCAAAAGAGTACAAATCAAACCTTGACAGAAGGAGTCTCTGAGGTCTGACCTTTCCAGAGTTAGTACAGAAAGCGGTTGAAAAGACTAAAAAATTCAAAACTTTAGAAATGCTTTCTCTTACTCTTATTCTTTCTTGTAGAAAAGCCTAGATTTTTGCAATGGGTATATCCTCAGTGCCTCACAGTATGAAAAACACAACCCGTCAATCTCTCTCCCACTTAAAATTCAAAATCTAGGATAAGAGTAAAGGACAAAGATAGAGTTGAGTTGAGTTGGTAAGAAAGATTTCAAAAATGGATAGAGAATATATAAATATAAAACATTATGTATCATTGACTATGAAACAAACCCATAACTTCAAAAATTAAAAAACAATTAATGATCTTTCTCGAAATTTGGTCAACTAGACAAACGCAAAATACCTTTTTTTTTTTTTTTTTTTAAATATAGAAATTTATATTCAATATCCAACTCCTGTAGACAATCTCATGTTTCATAAATTATTCTATATATAATACACGAATAATACAGTAGTAAATTCCTCGGTTAATGATTTTGTCATGATTTTAAGTGTTACGCCGAATTACTTGGACCCCCAAACTATCGTAAAAAGATTTTCTCCCTCAGTTTCGGAAAAAACGTAATATTATCCCCAACGTTGGTCTCTCACTCTGTCTAAACAAATTTAAATTTGAACACCTTGACAATCAAATACCATTTTTACCCTTTATTATCTCTCGTCAGGAAAAAAAAATCAAATTAATTCAAAATTAACAAATCTCATATTAATCAAATTAGTAATTAAATCAATTAACCCAATAGATCTCACTGTGATTGACCACTAACACCTGCGTTGCCCAGCCAAACCCCACCGCTTCGCATCCTTACCCCGACCTCCACCCCTTACCGATTTACCATTATCTCACTCATTAGGTACGATTGCTTGTGTCCTGAAGTTAACAGATTTTTTTTTTCTTTTTAATCTGTTGATGTGTTGCGAGGGTTTCTGTGTTGAGTTGCGACTGTTTGGTGACGATCAACTAAGGTTGATTTTGGTTAGTTTAAAGGAGAGATTTATTTGTTAAATGATATAAACTTATGTCAATTGACTAGAATACCCTTCTCTGGATAGTTTGAGGGTCAAAACCATTATTTTAAAACCTAGATAGGAGGGTAACCCGTTTTATTGCCTAGGTCACGGGTCAATCAGTCCAACCTATTGGACTGATGATGTTAGCGAGAATTTTATTTTTAAAAAATTACATATTAATTTCTTAAATTTTAATATATTATAAAAATTTTCCTAAAAAGTTTAAATTAGTCCCTAAAATTTTTATTTATTTCAAAAATATGCCAAAAAATTTCTGATTAATCCCTAAACTTTTAACATATCTTCAAAACACTCCTATAAAATTACAAATTAACCCTTATAATTTTGAAATATTACAAAAACCTCCCTAAGACTTGAACCGGACCGGAGAAGCTGTCGAGTCTCGGTCGAACCGGTTTGACTGACAGGTCCGGTTCAGTTTTTAAAACAGAGGTCAAAACGTCATTCCACCTTGATTTTATTATATTGTCTATGAAATGAATTTATTTTATATATTCTAAAAATTTTTTATGGTTGGCAATGCAATATTCTTTTATTTTTTAACTAGAAGTGTTGTGCTTGTCCATAGATTCCTCAATTATATGGTAAGCACTTAATTACCAATTTTGGACATGTGAACTTAAAAAGAAGCCTAATTGCTTAACAAAAAAATCTAAAATTACATAAGATATGAGATTATAATATCACAAATCAATTTATTTAAGCAAGTATTAACTGTTTTCTTTCAATTATTTATATGATTAATATATTTAATACTTCTTTGAAGGGATTTGAAGGATTAATTTTATCCATTTTGAGAGATATTTAAGTCAACAACACGATACACCGGTTATTGAAAGCTATCAAATACCTTAGTTTTTAGGGTTTTTTAATGTTTATAAAGGTTTTGACATTTTGTAGGGTTTTCTAGGCAATTGTAATTTGTATGGAATATCAAATAGTTTTTATAAAGTCGTAGTACTTTTGCCTATGATTTACCTGAAAAGTCGCAACGGTGGATTAATGTGGGATAGCTCCTCCTGAGGAATACTCGAGATGTGCATCAATTTGTCCGAACACCTCGGTTACCACAAAAAAAAAAAAAGAATAGCTTTTATAATAGTTGGACAATTTTGGATTTAAGTATCTTTCAACATACAAATGAAATTAGCCCTTCATGAATAAATATTTATTAATTCATGTCATTGTTTATGTAATTTCTCATGGTATATATGGTTGGTATACTCTCCTTTACCAGTAAATACAAATAGATTTTGCCAATGGTTATTACTTTTCATTTGCATTTTCAATATCCTTAATATGCATTAGTTATATATATAGCGTACTAGTTATTAGTTCAACCTTTAGAATCAGAAAGTTTATGGTTGTTGATCTGGTACCAGAAGTATATGCATATTTATTATATGGTTATTAAATTTAAAAATATTAATCATATCAGATTTATAAATAAATGAGATAAAAAAAATAAAAATTAAAGAGTTTATGAATTCATTAATTTAAATACGATATAGTATATGTGATATTCTAGATTTTTTGAAAGGAAAATAATTTTCCTAATTAAAGATTGAACAGTTGCCCAGCTCTACCTACATGAACTCCATCCACAAATGCAGTCTTAATTTCATAAAAATGGAATGACAAAAGTTGTACATAATTTGATGAGACAAACAAGTTCCAGCTGAATTAATGAACACAAGGTCCTACTCCTACCATCCTTCATCATCAACTGCTGCTGCAAATTAATTCAAAAGAAATAATCCAAGCTCATGGGATAACTACTGGATATATCTATCTATCTTAAATAATCTATGATCTCTTCTTCAGCTACATTATTATCAGTAGTAGTATATCCACCCATCAATTTTGAGTTTTGAAGTTCCAGATTGTAGTTAACAAAAGTTATGTCCTTCAATCGTTGTTGCTCATTCGAATCCCTTCTTCTTGTCAGCAGTTTCTCACCCAAGCTCCTCGTCAGACCGTATCTTAAAGCTCCATCACAAGTTTGGCTCAGTACCCGAATGGCGAATTTCTGTAACTCTGGACATTCTTCTCCATATTGAACCCACCATTCAGCTGCATGTACATATACTTAAATAATGAATAACTCAAATTCAAAAACCATAAAAATCCAAGTAATCATCTCTTAATTACGTACCTGGAGAGATATCTTTTATTGCTTCAATGCCACTTCCATCTTTAAAACCACCTCCGGCTTGCTCGTATTCCTGCAGCTGTTTAGATATTAAAGCTTGATCGTTAGGATCTTCCACCATGCTTGTGATACAACGTTCAAGACCATGTTCAACCTCGCAATCACTGTAGAAATTTTTGGTGTAAAAGATACCCGGGTTTAAATAATATCCTGCACTGTGTAAAGGTCTGTGGAGATATATATCCCATATCTCATCAATTATAGTCCAGAATGGCATGTAACGCGAAGCCTTATTTCCAAGTTGAACTTTTATTTCTTCCTTCATTCGCCTAAAACTTTCGTATAAGTAGCCAGCCATTAGAAGTGATTTACCATTGATGGGACAAACCGCACGTAGAATAGGGGTAGTTGCTGCTAAAAGTACTTTGGCTCCTTTCCAGAAAGAGAGGTTGTCTAGCAAGTTCACAATGCTCTTGCCTTGAGTTGTAGAAGCCCAGGTGGAGTTTCTCCACTTTAAGGAGGCGACCATTTCATGCAAATTCTGCTTTTGGGATACAATATTTCCCAAATTCAGGAAAGCCATTACTGACCTAATCCTGTGAGGCTTGATCAAGTCATGTCCATGAGAGTGAAATCTAAATAGTTTGAGAAGATTTTCATCGCCATAAATGAACTTGGTTAGTGTCTTGGCCATGCTTAGTATTTCTCTAAAGGGATTCATCATTCCTATCTTCTCTAAAATAACACCAATGTAGTGAGAGGACTCCAACGCCCAATACACGTTTGTATGACGTCCCACAATATGCCTAATTGCAGGCCACATCCGGGTTGTTGTAGAGGATGTGATGATTTGTACCACATTTTGGACACCAATCTCCTCAATAACCTCCTCTAACAACACCCGCAAGGCATCAATTTCACCAATAAATGCTGAAAGGTCAGATGAGCGAATATAAATGATGCCTTCCGGGCAATCTACTAAAAAATTAACCAAGTCTCTTCCCTTCTCATCAACCCATTCATCCAGCAAGAGACTACATCCAGTTTTTTCCCAACAATCTCTAACCCTCTTCACATACTTCCCCATCCGTCTCACTTCCTCTCTAAGTTTAGCATTTGAAGTATTGACATTGCAGTACCTTTGGGGTTCCTTTGGCTTCCGTAATGGAGCCACAACTTGAGCGTTCTTTTTGTTAACTTGGGCTGTTTTGCTTTTAGGTTTTGATTCTCTCCTAGGATGTGAATTTTGCTCTTCCTGATCAACTAACTCTTCAGGATCATCTGTCTTGGGGCAAGTCCAATTCCTCTTTAAAGGAAGTTGTGGGTGTAAAATTTGATCAACTTGTTTGACAAGATTTTTCCTTTTGGTTTCAAGTAATTTGGCTCTCAAAGGTTCCTTGACGCTTGGGGGGACTTCC